TGGTCTTCCTGCTATGTGCTGATTTATGTGGTTGGTAAACTGTCGTTATAAGTAAATGGCTTCGTAATGTCTAATAGTGGTCTTACTTCAAATGCGTAAACTTTATCCAGTGCATACATCTAAGTAATCATAAGCAATTGCTAGCACGCAAATTTTGTGATTGTTACTATGTTTTTCATCTAGGATTAGATGTATCATCGTATTCTCACTTTTTCCAACTTTGTGGGTTGTGGGCTGAAATTAGTCTTAGTTTGTCCTAGTTGACAGGCTTTCTACCAGCTTTACCTCTCATTTTGCATCTCAATCACCTATCTGTTGTCTTTGCAGTGTCTTTGTTTTTGCGAGTGAGGTTGGGCAATAATTTTTCGTCGCATTCATCTACTTTGTTTTTTGTGCTCTACAAGGAATGTTTGTTTATTACTTTTCAATAGTCGGAAGTAATTGCGTGTGTTAGCCTTGTTTGTACCACTTTGGGAGTGAGTGTTTACGAGTATTTAGGGCTCTGTTATACAGTTTGCAAGGTACCGAAACCCAGAGCCGCCTCTATCGTTGCCGTCATTCAGGAGCATGTCAGTCTTAGGAAGGACGTTATTTTCTCCACTAATTTTATCAACAAGAGTCTGTTCTACCCTCATTCTGCTCTCCAAATGTTGCATCATTCTACGTCGAGTCTAGCCAGCCCAAGGAAATTACGTGGGACAAATATATTGACCATGTCTAAAAGGTGATCTAATTGCACATTCATCATTCCGATTCATTTTACGAATTTACATTCTGATGTATTTTTGCCTTAACTCTATTTGTTTCACTTATGCCATGTCAATCCTTTAATTACGGTTATCAAACTCCAATAGAAAAATTATATGCTCGAATTTCGATCATTTTTTTGGGATTATTAATCTTCTCTTAACTTGTTGCGTACACTAGTTTCGATGATCTTATGGACGGCGGATTTCCGTGTGGAAGAATAACTGAGCTTTGTGGCCAACCTGGAGTTGGTAAAACACAGTTTTGGTGAGTCTTCCCGTGTGCTTTGTATTTCACTTCAGAAATTTGTGCAGAATGCTACTTATATTATTCAGTACCAATTTAACATCTGGTTCAAACCCAGCTTTAGGTTGTTTAGTGCGGCGTTTCTGAGGGATTTCAATTCGCTGCGATCTTAAATTAGCATAATTCAGCTCAGAATGAGCGTGGTAAACTGATGCATTTTTAACAATTTGTAGTCTGCAAACTTGTCTAACAGTTCAGATACCCCAATGGTGCGGCGGACTGGACGGCGAGGCTGTTTTTCTTGACACAGAAGGTAGCTTTGTCCCAAAACGTCTACATCAAATGGCTGTCGAATTGGTCAATCACTGCCAGTCTATGATAGCTCCTTGTCTCCGGCGTTACATGGACGGTCTTGGCAAGTTTCTAATGTTTGAAGTATTCCATCCATTCTGAACCACTTGCCATTTA